CTGTCCCCCCCAGTCCTCCCCCCCGCATGGCTGCCCCACCAGCCCAAGCTCCAGCCCTTTAAGGAACCCCCCGGGACTCACCAGCCCCTGCAGCGGCCTTGGAGCTTCAGGGGGCTCATGCAGAGCCCCTCACGCAGTGCGGGGCAGTGGGGGGCAGTGGGGGATTGCCCCCGCCGGGCAGGAGCTGGTAAATCAGGGGGGTGGTTTTGGTTAGGGTTAGGGTTAGGACCGGAGCTGGGGCAGCCTCCCCCAGCCATGGGAGAGCTGGGGGTTCCTGCAGAGCCCCCCACGCAGCATGGGGCAGTGGGAGGCAGTGGGGATCACCCCCCGCCCAGCAATACCCGGTGAGTGGGGGCTTTTTTTTTCAAAGTGCTGGGAGCTGGGGCCGGGAGGGGCAGCCATTGCCGGGCCTGGGACAGCAGGTGGGGGGATGGGCCTGTGTGATTCAGATTCAGCCAAACCGATTCAGGACAGTGATTCATAGATTTCATAGACATTAGGGCTAGAAGGGACCTGAGAAGTTCATCGAGTCCAGCCCCCTACCCCAAGGGCAGGAAGTTAGCAGGGGTCATAGGATCCCAGCCAGATAAACATTCAAATTTCTCTTGAAGGTGTTCAAAGTAGGTGCTTGAACCACCTCTGGAGGCAGTCTATTCCAGACTGTGGGGGCTCAGACTATAAAGAAGTTCTTCCTTATGTCCACCAGCCTGAAATGGTCTTGGAGGAGTTTGTGACCATTTGACCTTGTCATCCCATGGGGCGCTCTGATGAACAGACATTCCCCCAAATTCTGATTCGAATCACTGAAACGAATCACTGTCCCCCGAATCGGCCGAATCCGAAGCAAATACTAGACGCTTTGCGCACGCCTACCCTGTAGGATAACAGCCTATACTGGCTCATCTCCCACCGCTAGCCAGAGCTGACACTGAAAATCCCAGAAGCCAAATAGTTTAGTCCTTGCTTCTAAGCCTGGTGATGCTAGAGCTGGACCATTTTAGTTGAATTTTTTTCACAAACCTTTTGCCAGAGGCAGATACTCAACAGGAAAAAATTCAGCCCAAACCATTACATTTTGGTAAAGTTTTAAATAAAATGAAAACAGGACCTTCAGATGGAAAGGACTGGGTGGCCTTAACTATATGTGATGCAATGAAGTACAATTCCTGCCACATAAACTTGATTAGATAGACCTTGAAAAAAAATCAATGGATATAGGGAAGGCAGGATGAAGAGAAGGTAGGAGAGGCAATGTATTTGGATTAAAGCAACAGGAATGGTATTGCATAAAATCTTACTCAGATAAAATAATTCAATTTGGCTTGGCAATGAGGATAGACTGAAAATCCTGTGATAGAGCATAAACAAAAGTCTCTTATAAACGGTCATGCCTAGAATTGGAAGAAAGGTCTGTGGGGAATGGTGTTCTGTTCAATCTTATTTAACATCCACATAAATGATGTGGAAAAGAGAGTAAACAGTAAATTAATGACATCCATGGAGGATGTTAAATTGGGAGGTGCTAGGCACATAGTAAAATAACACAAAGGGCTCTGGACAGATGAGATTCAATCCAGAGAGATACAAGTCAATGAATGCATCTGGGGAAAAATAATCCAGACCTTCTAGACCAGCACTAAGTAATGTCTGTGGGGAGACTCCTGCTCTGGCCAACTTGGAGATGGGACAAGCCATTAGGCTTCCTCATTTTTAATTTCTGTGATTCTGAGGCAGATGTAGCCTGAACATTTAGCAAGTTGTAACTGACTGACCCCCATGGGAACCAGAGGGCAGCAAATTGCAATAACTCACAAACCTAAAGTTTGCATTTGCCTCATATAAGGGATTACAGGTCAGTGCTTCCGAAAGCAAGTGGAAACACTAATGTCTCTTGTGGCAGCACATGTAGTTTGGACTCATGTCTTAGGCTTTGCTGTGCAGCCCAGGTGCATAGAAATCCAGGTGAGGAGCACCAGGACAGACCATTGTTTCTCAACCCTCTCCAGGCTGGTGACCCCCTTGTTGAAAATCAAAAGATGTTTATACACACCCTTACATTTACCAAAACATATCAAACCTACAACCCTGTATAGCTGATTTAGGTAGGGGCTGAAATGTTGATGTCAAAACGTTGAACATGAATGCTAAGGACCTTCCAGGAGTGTTTGGGTGGGAGGCAATATTTTTGGTGGTAATAATATTTTCATGACTTCTTGATTGGTTTTCCGTGTCTCCCCACCCCTCAAGGTTACAATGCACTGTGTCTGAGAAATATCTGTACAGACAGGCAGATGCTTCAGCTGTTCTGAAAATGGCATGCCCACTATAAAACACTGCTTATCTTAGATTTGGGAGGTTGGACTCTAGAGGGGCCTTTTATCAGATTCAGCAAAAGACCCATATAGTTCCATTACCCTAACAATAATGAGGCTGGCTTCTTCCTGGAAGAGGGCATCAGAAATCCATCTTTGTCACCAGGTTATGTAGATCTTTGGCAATATATTTCTATGTTTTGTTAATTTCTATTCCTTATAAATAAATATAATTTC